TTGGCTTGCATTCCCCGGCGACTCTGAATCCCGAGGCTCTGTGACCACTACCTTCCCGGACGACGGCGACTGATTCGGCAAACTCCAATTGAATTTAGGTCAAGCAAGTTACCTTCTTAGATCGTTCGTGAGAACGTTTAAGATTGGCGTGTCGTCGAGGTTGTTATGGCGATCAGTCCGCAAACTGCAGGTTAATTATTCGACTGTGCAGTGCAATATTTTTAACTGCTTCGTTACAAGGCCATGGGAAACGTAGGATAGAAACATTCACGATATCGTCGACAACATGGGAAGCGGTTCGTCGCGTACAAGACGGTCATTGTTGGAGCATATACCGGCGTTCCAGTCATTGCAAATTGTCATGCTTGGCCTCGATGACTCCGGCAAAACCACAGCATTATATCGACTGAAATTTAATGAATTTATTAATAGTGTTCCGACCATTGGATTCAACGTAGAAAAGGTCAAACCGTCGTCAGGTAAAGCCAAAGGGACCAACTTTACATTCTGGGATGTGGGAGGACAGGACAAAATACGACCGCTGTGGAAATCGTACACTCGGGGAGCCGAAGGGATTGTGTTTATAGTTGACAGTTCGGACGTTGACAAGCTGGAAGAGGCTAAAGTCGAGCTCACCAAGATCATCAAAATGCAGGATAATCAAGCAACCCCGTTGCTTGTGATCGGGAATAAACAGGATTTGCCAGCTGCGCTGAGTGTCAGCGAACTCGAAGCGAGATTAGCATTACCGGACATAGTCGGGCATATGCAATTATGGCATTTACAACCGGCCTGCGCTATCACTGGAGAAGGCCTATTTGAAGGACTTGATATTCTTTATGAAATGATCATTAAAAAGAAGAAGTCATTAAAGCACCAGAAGAAAAAAAGGTAGCAATGAGAAGCCATACATGAGAAAAAACTCCGTCATTTACTAACTGTCTTTCCACAGAGAACTGCCTTATAATTTTTTTAATTGACACTGCTTTTTATTGAAAAAAAAAACATTTTTCAGTTTTTGACGACACTGATTCGTGAGTGTATTTGTTTGTAAACAATATATCATTTTGTCTTATGTTAACAACAAACAATGCACAAGTCCTTTGTTCGCAAGTTCACATATGTATAATGAAGTTTATAATGAAGGATTTTGTTGTTTTCGATAAACTCGTCATATCTATTTTTATCACCGCAATGCCTTGGTATATTCAACTCTTTGTTTTTACAATTACTGTTCATCACATCTGCCGAGCATACACATTTTAGAGATGTACCATCCGAAATTTATGTGAGATCATTTTAAGGGACGCACCATTCAATAATTGGACGAAATTGACCGAAGGGATATTTTGTTTTAGACTAACATGAAAAAGATTTGCTGCCCACACTTTTATATTCCACACAGTGTCTGCTAGTAGTTTTATTTATAAAATTGTACTGCAGTTTACTTTTTGAGGCTTCCCTTCTGAATTGTCAAATGATCCACTCCTGAAAATACATGAATCTTACCCATTAATTAATACATGTCTATCACTTATATACTCACAAAAATTGTTCACCGTTTAAAATGGTACATTCCCATTGTATAAACCATATGCAGGTCAATATCAGTATATGCAGGTCATTATCGCTATATGCAGGTCATTATCATTACATGCAGGTCAATATTACAAATAATTACACTTTAACCTAACCTATAAATTTATTTGTGTTAAAAACTCTACAAAGCTGAACAGATCTTGCCTTAGTCGTATCAAATTGTCAGACTTGTATATTGCCACTTTTTCCCCATAATTCTTGCTAGGGGAGAGTTCATATATTTATTAACCAATGAATTGATGTCTCAGATCAATACACTGCCACGACAGAAATCTAAATACATTATATGTGTATTAAAAACAGGTACAATAAAATAATTTATCATGAATAATGGCTGAATTGTTATTTTATACAGCGAGTGACTAGACAAGTGACTTTCAACTGTCTTTGCTATAAATAGATTAGTATTTCATTGAAGACATATAATACTGTCATGTCTTGTTGATTTCACTGTGTTTGCTGACATGTTATTTTAGTTATCTGTTGGAGCGGATTGTTATAACTTACCAGGGGTCCATACTAAACATGTTAGTGCTGTGAATCATCATACAGTGCCAACAGCTCTCAACAGCTGACTAGAAAAAAATATTCAATAATAATGCAGTTTTTTTTTCTATAAATAAGTTTTGAGAGAAAATCACTGTTATTGCGTATTAGTTTAATCCGTACTAACTAATAGATTTATTACTCAAGTTCTACATACACATGAAAAATAAGAAAAGCAATTAATTTTCAGAACTGTATGAATTACTGTGTTTATTAATATCTCCATCAAGGATTACTGTCAGCAGTGCTGCCATCAATAATAATGGAACATATTAAATTACTCATTTGAAAGTTATAACTGTTTTCATTTCCTCAAAACTCTTTAGTTTTCAGGAATTTATTAGCCTTCGACACTTGTACTAAAATGTGTGATGTGTGGCACAATGCTGTGTCAATTAATATTCACACCTTTTAGAAGGTAATCTGTCTCTTACCTAAAAATAGTGAAAATAATGCACTCGTTTGGTATAGCCATGGAACTATAAACCATGGTATAGCCTAGATACAATTATTATTATATATTTTTAAACAGCCTGACTGAGAGGGGGGAGGGTCATAATAATATTTTAGGTTTCTAACCCCTTCACAGTTCAACATGAAGAGGCATTGTATTGGTCCTCTTTAAATTTCACTTGTTGCTATTAACTGAAGGTGTTACAGTCAGTTGATTGACCGGTATAACGTGATGTGGCTTGTTGCATTTTGTAACTGAATGGATGATTACGCATTCACATCATTATTCATTATATCGTGACATACAAAGTTTCTGTCACAGCTGTCATGAAGTGTTGGTGAATGAAGTTAGTAAATTGTCCTTGTTTTTTTTTGTAAAAAATAAGATTTTTTGTAAAAAGCTTTTGTGACACTTTGACTTCTATCTATAGCTTTCTGCTCCTAGGAAGTGAAATCTACCAACACTTCAACAGGCATGAAAACTGAAGTTTTTTTTTTTTGATCTATTGAAACTGGAAACAGTCTTGTCCTGGCAAGCTGTAAAAACAAACAAAAGAAATTAATTATTCTTTTATGTGCCAGCTGCTTGTTTATTTCAGTACAGAAGTAGACATTGTCCTCCTCTGTGAATGTTAAATTTAAGTTACCATGGAAACAGATTAGTGCATACTGTTCAGGGTGTATTATTCACACACACACACTATCCACATATAACCAAGCACTGAAAGGAATAACTTATTAGTAAGTATTTATTTAAATATTTGTTTCATATTGCATATTGATATTGAAAATCATATTTGTTTGATGAAATAATGATTTATGCAACTGTGCATGCTGTAATAAAAGCACATATGTATAGTTATATTATTTCAACAAAAATTGTTTTTGTGTATTATTAAATTTTTGATAAATCTAAATCATGAAACAAAAAATTATATTTACATACTTGTTACTTAAATATTACTTGTATATATGACAATCTGCTCACATACATACAAGTTGGACTCTGTAATTCCTACATATTCACCAATATCCATGTCATGCATTGCACTCTCAACACGGACAGACTTTGCTCATTGTAAAAAAAAACACAATAAAAAGTCACTATTTATATAAAAAAACATTTTTAGACTTCAGGGTGTTTGAGCAAACCCCACCTGGAAGCCCTTCTAGTTAAGGGTGCAGCATCTAAGATGGCTTGATAGATTGTACATTTCATACAAATAATTATTTATGTCATGCCACATTGTAGTAAGTTCAGTAGTTTTTTTAAAAAAATTTCATATAATAATACTAATTAAAAATTCAAATAGTATAATTATAATACTAGTAATGATCTTAATTACACAGTATCAGTATCTTAGGTGAATCTATGATTTGAAGACGGGCTGAACAATGATCCAGTCCTGCAATAGATGTTATCAAGGACATTTATTATTTACTTTCCCCATGTATTATTACACTATTAAGTCCTGTAGTGATGTGTCTAAATTTACTGGGTGATATTTATGGCACAATTAGATGATGTGTAAACTGTCATCTTGCATAAACATCTCACTCTTGTGATAACACCACCAACCATTCATATCAACATAATAACCGGCCATTATTAAATATCTTATAGTTTCCCATCTCCCAAAAGCAATTTAAATTCGGCGCGGTATAAATAACAATGGTACTGTGTACAATGATGTAAACTAATATAAAAATAAAATTTGCGTTTTTTCGAATCCTCAAAACTCTGGAACGTTTTTTCCTAACGTTCCCAATCTGGGAGCATTGTCTAAAAAACGTAATCTCCCAATGCAATGGCCCAATGATTCAGCTTACTAGTACTGTGCCCGATTTGTGATACATTCATGGGCGAGTTTTAATCACTGAAGACAGAAATATCAGGCAGCACTGTCCGAGCTGACTATATCATGCTGTGCACTTAATATCAAACCATTCAAGATCCATTAATTAATACCGGTATCTCATCAATACGAGTACGTCATGACGTTTCCATACGTCACGCGGTCAAAGGTGACCCTTCCCTGGACGGGTATTTACGCTGGTATAGTCACAGCATGGAGGTAATAAGTTATTACCTCCATGGTCACAGATACCAGGGTATCCACGTACTGGCACATTTCTTAATTAATTCATATTAATGGGTATGTGCCAACTTGCATTGATAAGCATTGTAAATCAAGCGAGACAACGGCATTTATATTTGATTGAGTACATTTATCGTGATATACGCCAGGAATAGAGATTGTAAATACTAAGGATTGACTAATAGAAACACGTGACCGAGAGATTGTAGTACAACTTTTGTTAGTCTGAGATAGATTTTTATTTTCAGGATTATCTTAGTGTCTTTTTTTGGTTTTGCTCTACGTTATTGAATGTATAAAAGATTTTTTAAATTTTTTTCCATCTTTTCGACACTAAAATAACATCACCAAATTTCAGAGGTTAAGCCCTTACTGGTTTAATGTTTGTTAAACCCAACAAGTGAGTAAATAACTGCATAAGATTTGAGTGTGAATCTCGCTACTCCTTTCATGTTATGTAGATTTCATATTTTATAACATCTGCCACGGGTTCTACAAGTCCATCACGGTTAAAATAATGGCCAACCCTAACTAAAAAATTATTTCGAAATGATATATATCTATAAACACCAAACTTTTCCATGTATTATGAGTTCTCAAATGAAAACGGCCCTGCCTCTGTTTTTATGGGGTCCCAATACGTGTGAAAAAGATTCAGTTTTCAAGTTGTCTCAGGTCAGTCTTTGCGATGGTGCGCGCCAGCCATTCCATGAATATAGATAGATATATTTAATTGGAATGGATGATGATGATGGATACAATACACAAAAAAAACACGAAAAGTGACACGACAAAGCAAATACACATGCACAGAAAAAAAAAATTAAAAAAAAATGAAAATGGCAGAAAATCCAAGAATTTTGAAGGTCATTAGATGACATCCATGTCTAGGAAGTGTTGCTGTCCAGATTCAAAACAGATTCACAAATAATTGACCTAAAAGAATTGACAGGGATTCATTGCTCAAGATCAATCTGAATTTGTCGTCGTGGTTTATTTTACTGAAATTTTGGGATATATGCTTTGCTTCCGTAAATAGAATGTTTCTGTGCTAGACATAAACAGGGCAAAACATCACGAAATGTTGTTCATCTTCGATCTAATTTGTGTTACAGCATGGAGGTAGTTCTTTTCTACCTCCATGATTACAGAGAAGACATACCCTTTCATTTTCAGGCCCCTTTTCAATTCTCAGTGAATGGTTACTTAGACGAAGCTCACTAATTAATTCCCAGAGTTCAATATTTTTAATGTTTGTCAAATAATCCTCTTATTTTTTTAAAAAAAGTTTATTTCTTCCGTTGCCATTCATCTGTTTTCATCCTATATTTCATTTTTCATATAGTGTGATTACGGCATCAGTCGACACTTCATTATTCAGTCAAACAAATAATGTTTTTAAAAAGTGAGGTTGTTTGTTGGACTAATGTTCAGTTTATTTACTTTCTGGATTAAAAAAGACAGGAATCAAGTGACAGACTAGTTATTTGAGCAAGAACAATAGTATCCCATGATTCAATACTGCACTCGCCAAGACTGAGGAACCCTATCGGCTTTAAGGGTTTTACCATGAGAAATTCAGGGGTGGTAATTGTGAAGGAAAAATCTGCATCGAGACTAAACAAATTCTACAGGGAATTTTATCGTAACATGTTTATATACATACGAGACAAGTCACGCACACGTTTGATGAATGGATTTCAGTTCAAATCTTGGCACAGGAAATCCATATCTGTCACATCTCCCTACCCAGAGTTTCTAATTACCTATCCCTAAAAAAGTAATTTCGCTATTCGTTTAGACGTGATGACAGTGTAACCGGTAACTGTTAGCATTCATGCTTTATGATTGTAACGAGTTGAATTATATTTTATCATATTGTTGACCATGTTCATGTCACTCTGTGTCACCGGACTACTATTGCCACTACTGTCACCGGACTACTATTGCCACTACTGGCACCGGACTACTATTTCCACTACTGTCACCGGACTACTATTGCCACTACTGTCACCCCCCCTCAATACCACTATACCATATATGTAAAGCAAGTGTTAAAAGTGATCGTTAAAAATGTCCCGACATTTTCGTTCATGCCTCACATAGTTTCATTCATGTATACTGCAATATAGCATTGATAATGCAGTCAACTAGATACACATGACTAGCACTAATCAAAGCAGTCATCCAATGGAACCACTGACATACATGATACGTATGGCTACGTACCACTAC